GTGAGCCCTAATGTAAACTGTGGACTTTGGTTGATAATAACGTGCCCATGTTAGTTCATCGATTGTACCAAATATGCCGCACTGATGAGGGATGTTGGGGGTAGGGGAGTATAAATGTGTGGGTGGGGAGGGCTGTGTGCGAACTCTCTGTATTTTCTGCTCAATTCTGTTGGGAACCTGAAACTGCTCAAAGAGAATAAAGTCTGTTAAAAAAAGAAAAAAAGAGGAGAGGCAGAAGGAAAGAAGGTGACTCGTGCTTGTCTCCTTTTAGTTGGTCTCACCCAGTCAGGAAACATGGGTCAAGGGATGTCACAGCCCCCAACATGGAGGGAGAAGGAGTTCAGACGGGAGAAGCAGCCCAGAGCATCATGCTAGTACCGTTTCCTCCACAAGGAAACAGGAGGCACATGGATAAGTGTGCCCTCCCTCCCAGTCATCTGCCACGTGACTGGCCTGTTACTTCTGTAATACTGGTTCTTCTGTTTCTAAATACATCATCACAGCGTGCATTGTTCTTCTGACACGTGTGTTCTTTCTGCCTAGGTCCTCCTGTATGATCCTCTCTTTGACTGGACCATGAATCCTCTGAAAGCTTTGTATTTACAGCAGAGGCCAGAAGACGAAAGTGAGCTCCACTCCACTCTAAACGCAGAGGACCAGGAATGCAAACGAACCCTCAGGTGAGCAGTGTTTTGGAAAGGACCTGTTTACTGTCCGTTGTTCAGCTTCTGCTGTTCCCAAGGCCCTTTGCACTGCTCCACCTCATTAAAACCTTTGGTTTTCCTCATCAGTGATACTGACCAGAGTTTCAACAAAGTAGCTGAACGTGTCTTGATGAGACTGCAAGAGAAACTGAAAGGAGTGGAGGAGGGAACCGTGCTCAGCGTGGGTGGACAGGTGAATTTGCTCATCCAGCAGGCCATGGACCCCAAAAATCTCAGCCGGCTTTTCCCAGGATGGAAAGCTTGGGTGTGATATTCAGCATGAGAATGCCTTTGAAGACAACCTTCAGAAATTCTGTTTTCACCTTCATTTTTAACCCACCCACATACTTTGCATAGGTATTAATATTTAAACGAATTACTGTATTTTTATAAGCAATGTTTAGTGTTTGCCTCAATTACCTAAAGATGCTTTGCTAGTCTGAAGGAACAGTTCTTCTGTCACACTTTAGAAAGAACCGCCATCATGCTCTCCTTCTGGGCGAAATGTTTCTTTTTTCTCATCAAGTACCTGGTTGTATCATTTTCAGTAGAATCACTGACTTGTGCTTTAGCCAGAATGGAAGCAGCAGGCATACAGGAGCCACACTGACAGATTTTACTTTAGGATGAATTAAAACAAATAAATACACTGCTAGTTTTGGTGTAGCTTTTAATTAAAACTTGTTTCCCAGATGTTATGTGTGAGTGACAAATTATTTGATAAAAATATGTAAAAGGAAGAAAAGACCTTTAAAATTGTAACCATCTACATACCATCGTAAACAGACTTAGATTTTTAGTGGAGTTTCACTTACTGAATAACGAACTGGTACGATACAGAGAACAAATTTCACAGACTCACAGTATTACTGTTTTTTAGAAATATATGTTGGACCTTCTCATTGTGTTCTCTTTGTCTTTTAAGCCCTCTGCGTTTTCCATTACTTTATCTTTCTGTGATGCCTTCCTGTCTGTCTTCTAGTTCGTGAAATCTCCGGTCTCTATGTAATCTTTTAAATCATTGGGTTTCTCCTTTCACAAGTTTTCATTTCTCAGTATGTATCATTCTTCAGACCTGCCTATTATTTGTTTTATGATGTCTGGTTGGGTTTTTGGGGTTTTTTTTTCAACTCCTTTTATGTCACTAATCATTTTAAACATTTACTTAAACATCCCTGTGTTGTAGTCTCTGTAATAGCACTGCTGAGTTCAGCTCCTGTTGTTGGATTCTCTTGGCTCCTGTGTTTGGTGGGCTGTTCGTCCACATATTTTGTGATCTTCAGAGGCTGAGCTTATTTTTGGCAGGGCTCTCTCTGTGGGAATCTTGAGGACCTGGGTTAAGAATAATTCCTTCTAGAAAAGTTTTGTGTCTGGTTATGTCACATTTCCACGGCTGTCACTGACAGAAGGCCATTCCTCTTTTGATTTCCCGGCTTCAGTGTTTCCTGGCCTGAAGAGCGGTGTAAATGACTGAGAGAAGACACCCAGGCCAAGACACAGACGCTCTTCCTCGTTGTCCCCCTGTGCTCGTGTGCGGCATGTCTCACCGAGGGTGCGAGCCGCCTCGGGCCCCGCCTTTATGGTGGGCCTGGGGGGGGGTGCGTTTAATTCGTAAACTCTGCCGCTTGGAAGTTGTCTTTTCGATGTTACAGCTGGAGCCCACAGGTTAGTGAGGTGGACAGGTTGTTCCAGGACAGCTGGACTACCACTCACACATTCACCTGTCTGGTTTTCAGTTTCCTGCTGAAACTGAGTACTTTTGGTCATAAGGATTTCCTCTTTCTTTCTTTTTTAGTTGAGGAGAGATGATTAGGGTTAGTTACATATTTTAATTTTTAATGGAGCTACTGTGATCAAACCCAGGACCTCGTGCACGCTAGGCATGCACTCTACCACTGAGCTCCACCCTCCTCCCCTGAGGAGTACCCCTTTCTTATAAGTTCTGCTATGCATTTCAAAGAAAATCTCTTACATCTTATCTAGCATTCTTCGTGTTTCGTTGGAGCAGAAGAATTTAGGTGTCAGGTTTGCTATATAGCTAGAAACTTCTATCCCTGTACTGTCAACAGATAAATAAGTAAGACCATTGGCTTGTCTACTGGTGAACGTAATCCTCCCTCCATCTTTAGGAAAATGTTCAGCTCAGCTGCAGAGATAAAGAAATGTGTGGGTGAACTTTCCTCTTATTTGTATCTTAAGTGATTATGTAAACAGCTTTTTCTAATGATAGGTTGGTATTTGTCTCTGTTGCCGATGGCAAGTTCTCACTCATATCTTATCTACCCAGCTTCCCCTCCCCCCCAAAAGCAATCTCCAGAACTTTCTGTAGTATAAATCTTTTGGTTTGGTTTCTGGAGAACTGTTCTTAACATTCTTATTTTGCATTTCAAATTACATACTTACCATGGTGTATATTTTTCTAATCTTCCAAAATGAGTACTTGGTATATATTGGTAGTTTATTACCGTAGTGAATTGAGGGAATGTAGTAAACTTTTTATATAATAAGAAAGCCTTGAAATCTTCATGGGTAGAATAAGAAGTTACCAGCTAGATGATAGTGTAG